GCCCCCACAGGGCTCTCAGAGCAGCCACACCTCACCATGCTCCATTTATTTATACAGAGCAGCACAGCTTCACCAGGAGAGATTGAGGGGATTTCCCCCCCCCCCACATTAAAGTATCCCCAAAAGGCTTTGGAAAATGTCACCCCTCAAGGCTTTGTGCCCTTGGCTAGGCTAGTTCCCAGCAGCAGTAGAGCTGCTAGTGAGCATATCTATTTTGAAGTGTTTCCCCTCTATTTACCCCTCAACACGATATCCACTTGGAAGACTTGAAAAGCTTCTTCATGAATGTAAAGGCGAGCAGCTTGCTTAGCTAGACTCCCTGCCCATCTGTGGTTGCCTCTTTGTATAGTTATTCACAAAGAAAAAAACAACAGGTAAGATTCTCTCTCTTTAATTGTTATTCAGGACAGAGTTGAATACAAATGTCAGAGAACCATGCACGGCTCACAAATCCTGTGAGACACATACATACACACACATCATGATAGTAATTTGAAAACACAAACTAAAGATCTATATGATGTAACTTCAGGAGCTCTTTATGTATGCTACAGTGATCGTTACAGATCCTTTCAACGTTATTGTTTTCCACAGACTATTTTAGCTGACATTGATAATGGAACATTATTATTAACCTGACTTATTGCACAGTGTTTTCCTCTTAGCAGAGAACAATGCTTAGAGAACAAGAAATGCATTGACCATACACACGCATGCAGTCCTGAAGGGGCTTGATTACAATGCGATACAGAAGTTTGACCTCCTTAATGAAGCTGGTTTTCTTAGACAGCATCAGCATTTTCCTCATTGTTTGACTGTTGTGGTCAGCCTCTGAAATGGACCCGGAGCACATTACAGTTGTAGCACAATCACAATGAATTTTAAAACGGGGATTTCCCCCTATCCTGTATGAGACAAGCCACAGACAAACTGAAAACTTCCAGGATTCCAGTTCCATGAGGCCCTGATTCAGAGAGCTCATGTCTGAAATCCTTCTCATGACTGACACAAAAGGATACAATGCATCAGACTAGGCACCCATCACATTCTGTAGGGTGGTATGCATCATCTTGAAAAGCAGCACCCATCTCTTTCCAGAGCTCATTAACAAGTAAGGCCTTTTCAAATAAACTTTTATAGGACTTAAGTTAGAAAATGTAATTTTTGCAATTTCTTTTAAAAAGTTCATGATCTTAACTTAAAATTACACACAAGTATACAATGTTCTAACTCTTCAATCAAAAACAAGTCCCTTACAGAAAGACATTTTGGTAGTTGGACAAAATACATTTCCTTAGTGCGAGCACCCAGTATTTTAGAAACCAGTTACCTTTCTGCTGTTTTCTCTCGGCAATGACTACCACCATGGAAGATAGAAAAATATTTTATATTTCAAATATAAGTAGGGTATAAAGGATGGGGAAATTGGATACACACTGTTCTTCTGCTGTAATAAATGCCTCCTCCCCTCCCCCCAGTATTATTGTCAGTTAATGAACCTTGCAGAATTCTGAGAAAAGGCCTTTTGAAGAATATGGCAAACCAGCCAGCAATTTGGCAACCTGATAATCATCTTTAAAAAGGGTAAGAAAAGTTAAACAGGTATTGTGTGAATAATCAGATCATCACTAAACAGAATTCAGTTAGTTTGGAATACAGTGAAACCCCTTAGGCCGTGGCTAAACTCGAAACTCCAAAGCGGTGCTGTGGGAGCACTCCCGCAGCAGTGCTTTGAAGTGCGAGTGTGGTCGCATGCCAGCGATGGGAGAGAGCTCTCCCAGCGCTGCAGGTACTCCACCTCCCCGAGGGGATTAGTCTACAGCACTGGGGCACTGTTTACACTGGTGCTTTACAGCGCTGTAACTTGCTGTGCTCAGGGGGGTCTTTTTTCACACCCCTAAGCGAGAACGTTGCAGCGCTGTAAAGCGCCAGTGTAGCTATAGCCTTAGTTTAAGACTTTTGATTGATGCAAGAGATCATCAACTGGAGGTCTATTATAACCAACCTCAAGGTCAAACAAATATGTACCTGAAACTCTACACGTGAATACATTAAATTGGTTGCTTAAAACAAAAGGAAGCTGGTTGGTGCAGATTTGACTGTAAATGCGGGGCTCCCCATTCTGATGTCCAGAGTTAACTGTGGCTCTACAGTGGCAGAATTTGTCCCAAAGGCAGCAAGCAGATGCTCTAGGGTGGCAGGGCATTACATACACTGCAATGTATGTTCCAACTTTTATTTCCTCCTAGACTCAAGAAATCTAAGGAGCCCAAACTTGAAAACAGGACAAAGTCAACGGTAATGTTCACGGTGAGATGGGCTGATAGACTGAAGTTTGACAATACCATCAAATAATATCAACAGGTCATCTTTCCAAGACAGGGAATCTGTGCAGTGAGAACGTAAACTATTGAGCTAGTCATCACCCAGTACCTATCAATGACAGGACTACAGACTGATACAGAAATGGTCCAGAACACTGCCATACAGTGCCACTGTAAATGCAGTACTGGGCCACTGCTGTATAACAAGGGGGAGCGGTTCTTCATTTGTGGGGAGGGGGGAGCTATGTTCGTTCAGTTGATCTGTCCCATAAACATTGGGGCTGTCAAGGATTAAGATTATCCCAATCTCATCCCAGCTAACTGCACTGGGATGGCTCTGTCAGGTAGCTAGACAGCGGGGGAGTCTGTGCTGTTTTCCTCCCACTGTAAAATAATGGGCACAGAGGACAGTCCCTAGCTGCTCAGCAGGTAACCCCAGTGAAGCTGCACATCCTGACAGCAAGTAAGCTCTCTCTCTCTCTGCCTTTCCCACACCTGAACGACAACAGTCCCATGATTACTGTTACCCAATTGCCCGGCTCATCCCGGGACCATCAAACCAGGGTGGGAGGAGGCTGCCTGGAGTCACTGCAGCATGATGGATCGCTCACACTATGCCAGCGGTTTTGCTCTGGCAGTCTCTCCTAGGAGCACAGCACACATCTTGCTTACAAGAGCATGTTTGGAGAAGGGTTCTACTGCCCCAGCGAGCTGGACTCACCCAACGCAGCTGTTCTCCTTTATGTATACATCCTATACAAACAAGTTCCCGATAGGAACACAGCTACTGAACTTTTACTAATTCTTAATGGTGACCTGAAAAGGAAGAAAATGTCAACTGCCTCAGGGCTTGTGCCTTTTCTTCACTTCTTTATGATGTACAAAAGGCCTAAGACCTTTAAGATTCCCCCCTTCCAAGTTATTTGACACATTCCAGCCCAGTCTTAACTGGCTAACCAGCTAGTCAAATTTTGGTATCACAAGAGCCAAGAGTGAAAGCTGAGAGGGGGGAGTGTTTTAGTTTAAACTCTTTTTTAGTTCATACCTATTTTACTTCCATGTCTGATAAACATTCTTGATAAAGGACATCTGTTAGCCCTTGTCTTCACTGGGAAAAATGAGAGTGTTGAAACAGGTTAGCTAACACATTAAAATCTGAGTGCAGGCAAAGCATGTGTGGTTTTAATACATTCTGGTGAGGCAAATTCTAGGGGGTAACCTGGGGGTTACTTTGACCAGCTAACATGTGGTAAAGCTACAACTTGCTTTGTCTGCACTAGGATTTTAACACAGGTTATCTAACATGGGCTTACCACCTCCCCACCTTTTTTCTACTGTAGCCATAGCCTTTGTCCAAACCACCATCCCTCTTCGATGAATGAGAGCTCACAGTACACATCCTCCAAC